CATTGAGCAGGGGGTCCCACAAGGTTGCACAATGTACCCAACATTGTTCCAGGTGTTCGTCAACGATCTGTTGGAAGTCGTAGAGGCAGTCCGGAAGGGAGTAAAAGTAGGGGACACGGAAACGTCGGTTTCAGGAATGCTGTTTGCGGATGATTTTGTCGGTATGTCGGACACCCCTGAGGGACTGCAACTGCAAATTGACGCGGCGAAGAAGTTTATAGGTAGGTGCTGTAGGCGTAGACCAGGACGGCGTCCGCGTCAGTTGGACCGCCATACCGCAGTACTCGTATGGATATTTGAAGACACCAGCGGAGACCGGTTTGTGAGGACCCAACGAATCCATCTCTATCGATTATTTCCTTCCCATACTTCTCCGGCGTACTCTAGCGGCGGTACGATTACGCTCTTCAAAACCGTCAATTTGATCCGTGTTTCGAGGTGCCGGTTTGCGAGAATTGATTGGGTGCAGCTTCCCTGATTGCGCTTTGCCCTTTTCCGCTACCTTGGACATGTATGTGTGCATTCTACGAGCAGTCTTTTGCGATCTCTACTCCGAGGTATGTGTACTGGTCCACTACTGCAATCTCCTCGATCCCCCACTTCCATCTATGTTCGACTGGTTCCTCCTTGTTCTCGTTGCATATCATGACGGCACTCTTCTTCTTAACGTTGGCAGACAATCTCCACTTATCAGTAAAGGAAGGGGGGAAATGGAAAGAGAGCGCCAAGGACCCGGAGGTGAGGTACAACAAGGTCGAGGACGGGGCGGCATGGCTCATGAGGAAATGGCATAGGCAGGAGGTGGACCGCGAAGCGCCAGCGCGCGAGGGAAGCAGAAGCAGAGAGTACGGCCATCTGAGGACCGAAGAGAAAGAGCGTCGGGGAAGCGGCGGTGGGGGGGAAGAAACAGTGACCGGGCACTGCTGTAGAAGCGAGTAGGGCGGCCGAGACAGCATTGTGGCGAACTATGTTCCCGGCTGATGATGTTGTTTCGCCCTGTTTCCTCCCTGCTGTATGCTATACTCCTGTTGTTGTTGTTGTTGTTGTTGTTGTTGTTGTTGTTGTTGTTGTTTTTGTCCCATCATTGGACTCTGTCGTCTACCCCTCTGGCCTCTACTTCTACCAGCTAGACGACCTAACCGGGGTCACAGGAGGGGGGGGTTGGACCCCTCCTGCGATTCCTGCCTGAGATACTTTTATCGCGACAAGGGTACAGCAAAATTCCTGCCCACGCGACCTATCAAGTCGTCGATCAAGTTTACTAACAACGAGCTTTGCAGCACGTCGCTTCCAACGGAGACCAGGATATAATACGCGAGAAAAAACTCACTCTGTCGGGACTCGAACCCATGACCTGGCCCTTAGCAGGCTGCGAGGCTACCCACTAGACCACCGGTGCGACCGGCGGGTAGATCTATATGTCTGTCTGTATTGCCTTCGGCCTCTGTGCTGCTGTGTTTCGTTTTTCATGTCGTCCCTTCCTAATCTGCTGTGTTGGGTACCTCGCTTTTGCGGTTGCTTTTGTTTCTGCACATCTGGCTGTCTGCCCATCTGCCGCCTCTTTGTCCTGTTTACTCCGTTACCCCCATGCCCTGGTGCGTAGTGCCTGGTGCTGGTACGTTACCCTTCGATTTTTTCTAAGGCGGGTGTGGGAAGCATCGTCCTTGTTCTTGTTTTTTTATTTTTCTTGTTATTTTGATCGGTTTCCGAGGTCTCTTTCCTCGAATGGTTGGTGCGGTACCTGTTCTTTTCTTTCTATCATTTTGTTTTCTTTTTCCGAGTGGTTTGTACCCTGTTCTTGTTTTGTTTCCCCGCGGCCTCGTATGTGCCGGGTTTTGAGACCACGGGCTCTCCCCATTTTTTGTGAACTTGTTGAGCTAACGTGAGTTGATGACGAAAAGTTACACACCCCAGACGCGCTTGCTCCGCAACGACATAAGGGTGCCATAATAGAACACCCGACAAACCGAGTTCCCCTAAATCTTCCGTCTGCAACTTCCCAACATGACATACACACACATAGATACACAAGATGGCTACCAAACTGTCTTGTTGAGCCTGTTACCCACAGGGGAGACATCGTTGTATGCTGTCTGGGAAACCGTAGACATACAGGTAGCCTTTCGCTCACGATATGGATTCATTGCAAATCTATCTTAGACTTATTGCTATAGATAGAGATGGATTTGTTGTGTGAGAAAATAAAAAATAAAACAGCAGCAACAAAAGGGCGCACGGAGTATTTCGGTGTCGGTCGGTCGGTCAGCAAAGATCCTCCGCGCATCCTTCTTTTTTTTTTTGTATTCCATCACCATGTCCCAACGAATTGTTTTTTTCCAGCAGTGATGAGTAAAACAATAGCCCCACGCGAGCACACGATCACACGGTAACAACGCACCCACCACACCAAACAAGAGGTCGTGTAGGGCGGCTCGTAGAGAGAGCGTGACAGGAGAGGCTCTTGGCTGATTGATGGTGTTCTCTTGTGAGTTGAGCCAGCCGCTGTTCGAGGTTTGAGCGAGACACGTCAGGACCCGGGCGACCTCAAGGAAATTGGAGAGCGCCCTGTGCTCCGGTTCGTCGAACGGTGAGTCGAATCATGCCTGCCGACTGCCGACGCGATTTCTGTTGGGGTGGTGCCTCGTTCAGTGATAAAGAACGGCGATAAATCGGCTGCTGTGTCAAGGCGCTTTCATCATTGAGAGGCTGCCCCGCCCGCCTTGTGTACGTGGTGCTTCCTTGCCTACAAGCTACAGACAGCAGAGACCACCTGTTGAGTGCTACGGCGATGCATATGCAGTCGGCTGGAATGATGATGCCTCGTAACTTCAACTTTGCTACTCCTCTACAGTTCTACAAGCAAGACCTTGCCCCCAGTGGTCACGTGTCCCCATACAATACAGCAGTAGGGCACATGGCTAACCTGCGCTAAATAGAACTGGTCGCATTTCGGTGTGTCTCGGCAAGAGGTGCGTGTACTTCGGAAACAAATGGGTCTGCTGATGTTGCTCGCTTGCGCACCGCTGTCCTTGAGGGAACTACCCCGTACCTCTGCGGGGTATTTCATCGAAGGGTTAGCCCGCGCCGCTCATCCATGGCAGAGGCTCAGGACGTGTACTGCCATACTTCTCTTCTTGTGGCAATTCATACACCTGTTGTCGTGCTGCCACATTGAACAACCTCCCACACCACTCATCTTGTTCTCTCTCTCTCTCTCTCTCTCTCTCTCTCTCTCTCCCGTCGTGCATAGTCCGTTGCTGTTGACAATCAATCAACGCTCAACCGCGGAGATTTGCCTGCAGTACAGGATCACCGCCGTCACACATGAAAAGCTTCGTCCGCACCCGGCGAAACCCAAGGCGGCGGTCGCTTCTTCTTTCTGTGCTGGTACTAGCCTCGGCGGGATGGCCACTGGCATGGGCGCAAGTAGCGACGACAGCATGCGGCAGCACCTCGTCGCTCCGTGTAGAAACAGTGACGGATGCCGGTGTTCTCAGCACTGCCGTCAACTGTACCGACGGCGGGACGGTGGAAGCCGTTTGGGCGGGGGCGGTTACTCTTACCGCTCCCATATCCGTCGGGACGGGGACGTTTCTGTCCATCACCGGAGAGGACGGCTCGGCAGAGGTGCTGGGTGGCGGCCAGACCCAGATGTTCTACGTCTCATCGTCGGGAGGGCTGACGCTGACCGATCTCAGGCTCTCGGGGGGAAGCGCGGCAAGCGGCGGCGCTATTGAATCCAGCATGGCATCGGTAACGCTCGACACGTGCATATTCAGCAGCAATGTCGCCACCGCCGGGGATGGAGGGGCCGTACGGGCGGACGGCGGGGACCTGACGATTATCGGGGGAGAGTTCTCCGGGAACAGCGCCAGCGGGAACGGTGGCGCCGTTCTCGCCGCCGACGCCGGGCTGGTGATCCGAAACGGCACCCGGTTCGAGGGCAACACGGGGGTGGAGGGCGGCGGGCTATACTGCTCAGGAGGGGTAGAGAGCTCCGCCCCCTCTTGCTCTCTCAGCGACGCGACGTTCACGTCCAACGTAGCTACGACCGGCGCTGAGGTCAGCTTTAGCGATACCATTGAGACCTGGGCCGACCTCTACGGGGGTGGGGCCGCAGCGTTTTACCTTGCCGCCGTTGAGATCACGAACTCCTTGTTCGAGTTAAACTACGCCCAGGTGTCCGGAGGCGGGATCTTCGGAGGCAGCGGATCGTCCATGTCGATAGACGGGTGCACCATCAACAACAACACCACTCCTGGGTACGGAGGAGGGCTAGTCGCGTCGGCCGCCATGCTTGGGGGAGGCACGGTCGTGACGAGCAACGTTGCCGACGAGTCCGGCGGCGGGGTGAGAGCCAACAACCTTTTCTGTTTTTTCGCGGAATATATTGTGCACATGCGTATGTAGAATACGTAAAACAAACGAACGTGGTTGTAAGTACACATATTGGAGGACTGCTGTGTACGCCTGCGAACGTGGTCACATGGGAGTAACTTGTTGTGCATAGGAGTATCGTACACTTGTGGGCGTTTATTTTTTGCTAGAAAATACATGTACAAGTAAAGTAAACACACAGAAAGACGATCGCGTTAGAGATAATATCAAACTTCGCACCACAGCAGTCGAAAGGGTTCGTTGAAGCGTGAAGAGTGGGAAGAACCGTTTTTTTTATGAAGAAAATCTATTAAAACGCAACGTCGTTTTCGGTATTTATTGTTTGTTGTCCGACGATTCGCGGGAATAGACGAACGTTCCGCCAATGGGCAAGGCGGGGGTGGAGGCAAGCGATGGCGAAAATTGCCATCCAAGTTACCCGCAGCGCAGGGGCGGAACGCCGCTGCTTGAGAGGAGTAGGTCGTTATAGGTTCAATCCCCGTTTTTTTTTTACCGACTTTTTGTTTCGCTCCCCCAATAAGGTACCCTCTCAACGATGCATGTAGGATGGCGTGCGTTTGATAGGTGCAGGCGAGGGCTTGTTTGTGTTGTGAAATGAGGTGGAGGCTGCGCCGCAGCGGGACTTCGTCCGGAAAACGTCTTCTCCGCGTGTACGTGTGTGTGTTCGTCCCATCTACGTATTCTGGCGCCGATTTATGGCCTCTCGGCGTATATATTACCTGACGAATCAGCCGGGGTCACATTCTGTATTTTTAATTGAAGTCTGGTGCCACGCCAGTGTTCCTAGGGTCGTGTTCCGACATGGAGACCGCCATCTCGATATTGTCATGAGCGCTGCTGAACAACCTTTTACTCTCAAAGAAGATATGCGCTGCTGTACCACAATTGCTGTTCTTTCTACGATGTTGTGCCACAATCGCATTCTAAGCGGGAGGCTGCCTTGTTCTCTACCCAAACCTCGAGAGAGCGTACACATGCATAGAACGTTTGACGGTCGTTGGAGAAAGTTAGGCAAGATGATTGAAGATTTGAGCTGACTTGAGAGTCACCCGCCCCTTCCTTGCATCCGAGTCGAAGAAGGCAGCGAAGAAGGTGATTTGTTTCATGCGTGGATTCAACCATGCCGCCACCACCATATGAAGCGACCATGGCGGCGTGCCGACCACACTCTCGTCTTCTTCCGTGTCATGTTGTAGTACAGCCGTACCGATGCTCTTCACGACGCACACCTGGTACTGCTTTTACGAAAGTTACGGGTTTGAAGCATTGAGAACAAGGTGCAAAGTTGTGCGTACCAAAACGTAGATCTCACCCCCACACCTACATAAGCCTATGCTACATATGCACGCAAATGCACACAGTATGTACATCGATCTTCTTTGTTGGTTTCGACGCCGAGGAAACAAGCCGCGAGTTTGCCCACAAGAAGTTCTTTGCCACGTGGGGGTGCCGTGGTAGTTTACGGGGAAGCCGTTGTACATACATACGAGGTGGTACGTGGTGGGAGCAAAAGGAGGGTGCCCATGGCGGACACACGCGAGACAGACTGCTGTGTTGGAATACCAAATGTTGGAAGGAGGTACGACAATACCAACCCCAGGACCGATCTTGGAAGACCGATTGCTCTTGCACCGACGAAAGAATATCTGCGTTGAACCGTTTGGTCGAGAGCTGTCCGAACGTTCGTGGGGTAAATGATCGAGCTTGATCGCGATGCCTGGGTTGTTTTAGCAACGGTGGCTTTGGCTTCCGAAAGCGTGGAAAGCAGCGGTGACACGTGGCATTGCCGTAGCAAATCCTGATTTTTCATGATCGCGACAATGGCACTCAAAAAAGCGTATGGAAGTAACGCCGGTTTCAAAACACGCGTTGCCGTTACCGTTCCCGACTTGTTGTCGGCACGGCAGGTGTTTGGGTGGTATTCCCGCGGAGCGGTGGAGATGAACGACGTCACGTGCAGCTTGAACGAGGCGGAGGAGAACGGCGGGTGCTTCTACAGCGCGGGCATCGGCATTGTCAACGACGGGACGGTGATGCTGGATAACTTGGCGGACGCCGGAGGCTGCGTATGTGGGTGCCAAAAAGAGTGCTCCTTTTGGGAGTGTTTTGAGCGTTTCGCCTCCTGTTAGCAAGCGTAGAGATAGGAGCTTCTGAATCTTCTTCGTGCTTAAAAGCAACTGAGACTTCCACCGCCAACCAACCCTTCTGATGTGCATGAATCTGGATGGAACGTTTTCAGGACAGAGAAGCAAAGACCGTGCTGTAGGTGTTGTACGGTCGACGAATGGCATGGGGAGAAGAAGGAGGAGGGGGGGATGCAATATTTGGTATTGATCGCTCCCTGCTGGCTGCAGTGGGACCGCGTGTGTCAAGCGTGCGAAACTAATTCGGCGCTCTGAGTACCATCCTGCCCAACAAAGCGGACCGTTGGAGCTTGTATCTCTAGTGGTCAAAAATTTGAGAGCATTTTTTGGTGCCTCGGCGGCGCACGCTGCAGAAGCTGTCCGGCCTGTGCATACACCAACCGAAGCAGCAGATCACTCCGTTGGGATACTACTAGTTTGATTCGCTCTTTCTGGACGTGAAGCCCCTTTGACGCGACGTCACACACACAGCACGCACCGAACCCTTGAGGTTCTTCTCCCGCTGACACGCACTTCTGTGTGACTGCTGTCCTTGAAATTTCGCGCTGTCTCAGACGTGTCCGCGAACGGTACCGTCAACGTCAACGGCGGGGAGTTTAGGGGGTGCAGATCGACTTCAAACGGCGGTTTCATGTACGTCTCGGACGGTGGGACCGCGACCATCACGGGAGGCTTGGTGGCAAACAACGTGGCCGAACGGAGAGCTGGCGTGGTGAGTCACAAGCTTGAAACGTTGTGCGCGTGGCAACAACGCAAGCACCACCGGTCATGATTGGTCGCTCATGTGTTTGTTTATTATTTATTTCGCCGCATCTTTTGTTTTCCTACCACATGAAAACAAGATGGCCCAAACGGCAACAAGTCGCGCGCCCCCCGGTACACGGTCGGCGAGAGAAGTGCCCATTATCTCGAGGTTGTGCAGCTTGTTCGTGAGGCTTCTCTGCCGGCTGCAGCTACTCTTTGTAGAGAGTGGACGAGCTATCTCAGTTGCGACAAGACACAATGCAGGCCCCCTTTTGCAGGCTCGCATTCGCCAAACCTTGCGACTTGCACGAATCTTCGTGGCCTATCCCCGGGACAAAAATTATTTCGGTACCCGTCCCATGCCCCCCGCGTCTCCTGGCGCGGCCCGCGATTGGCCACTATTCTCCCTGACCATAGCTGCTTCTCCGTGTCAACGCGACATTGCAGCCGTCGAGAATATCTTCGTGTCTTCGGACTTGCGTTTACTGCCGTTGTCGAGGTCCATCCGACCTCAGCCTTGGAGATAGTAGGGTTACTGCTGTCGACCCTTCGTCCGACCTCGTCGCTGTTGGCAGTGTTTGTTGCCTGCCCGCCTGCCATGTTCGAAACAACGACCTCACCCATGGTGGGCGAGTAAAACTTCAACACGTGTTGTGTGGTGTGCTTGGGAGATGACGTATCCTCCCCTTGTTTGCGCCGGGTGTGCTCTCATGCAAACGCATGCTGTGGTCGTTAGGCCATCGACCTCGCATCCCGGGGGGGAAGGGGTACTCATAGTCGTGCATGCCGTAGTCGTGAGACCATTGACCTCGCATTCCTACAAAGCCGGGACGGAGCACGCCGGGTTCTCACCGGACCAGGCTCTCACATCACCAAGCGCGAAGCGCCGTGAGGTATTCGGCGAGTCGCATGAAGGGTGCGCTGCATCCTGCGAAGGGTGTTCGGCATCTTGTGCTTACTCCCATGCGTACGGATGGCAGCTGCGTATGACTTAATTTATTTTTTGGTGCTTTCACTTCCGGAGACAGTTGTTAGCACTGTGTAGACTAACTGCCTCGAGGATGCTTGACCATTTTAACACACGTGATGCGATCATCCCTCTTGCGCGGAGTGAGGGCTCTCCACCCCGCACAACATGATCTACTCGACCACCATTATGGTTACCGCCAAAAAAAAGAGGTGAAACAAAAAAACGCATCCCGGGGGGGTGGGCGTACTCTTATGTTTTGCATGCCTTAGCGGTTAGACCATTGACCACGCGTCCTCGAGAGGACGGAGCATTGTTCCCACAGGACCGATCACCGATGGCCAATCGTTCCTTTCTACTTTGCCAAAGGTGGCTCAAAAATGTCTTCCCTAGTCTGTCTATCCTAACGATATCCCTTCCCGCCTTTTCAACCCACCTCCTATGCCCCAGTACAGCTACCGTCCTTTCCTCTCTATTCCATGCCTCAAACATCTCCCTGTACGTTCCATCTATTTTTCCCAGCTCAGTCACGTACACTTCCCTCTCCTTCTTGTACAACGGACATTCCGCGACTACATGAACACGGTCTTCGCATTCGAAGCCGCAATCACATTTGAACTCGTCGTCTTCCTCGTCTACCGTCCTATGTCTTCGTCGACGTTCTCGAAGGCCTATGTCCCCGGTCCTGAAGTTGACCTTAAGCTTTGTTCCTGCATCCATTGGTCTATGTAGGTAGTCCTTGAACCCTATTCCGTCCTTCAACATTCCGTACACTCCTAGACCCTCCTTATCCTCGGTTTCTTTCCTTAGATTCTGTTCTTCTCTCTCGGCACAAGCAACAGATATCTTCTCCTTGAACTCCTTTAGACCCTCCGTTTCCAGCGTTTCGTCTTCGTCGATGTCGAGCCCCTTCCATACGTCCTCTACAACCTTGACCCATTCCGTGGGTTGTCTACCCCTCTTTTTGTTTGCCCACTTCGCCTCCCATACAATTCTCGGCAATCTCTCCTCTCCCATCCTGTACATGCGATACTGCCATGTCAGCTTCCTCGCGTCCCTTCCCGACCGTAGGGATTGGATCCCCAATTCTGCCCTGACGGCTGCATTACTTGTGCGCTTGGAGCATCCTAGGATGATTTTCGCTGCTTTCATCTGCGCCGCCTCGAGTTCTTTCACTACCTTCTTATTTCCTTCCCATACTTGTCCGGCGTACTCTAGCGGCGGTACGATTACGCTCTTCAAAACCGTCAATTTGATGCGTGTATCGAGGTGTCGGTTTGCGAGTATTGGGTGCAGCTTCCCTGCTCGTGCTTTGCCCTTTTCCGCTACCTTGGACATGTGTGCATTCCGGGGGGGGGGGGTGAAGGCAGAAGCGTCGGAGCGTCGTTGTTCTTCCCTCAGCGGTTTCGATCACATCCCCGACTACTTACTCCCTAGTTTATCCATCCTTTTCCTTCGTCTCTCGTCGCCGCGTCCGACCAACTCAGGTGTATAGCTCGGGGGATAGCAACGGATTTGGAGGAGCCAGCGTAACGATCGAGGGAGGTACGTTCAGCGACAACGAGGCGCAGGAGCTTGGCGGGGTGATCGTGGCCTGGGGGGACACCAACGTGGTGACCGTGACAGGCGGGTCTTTCGTCAACAACACCGCCAAGTGAGGAAGAACAGTAGTGGAGGTGTGCCCTCCCCTGCTATGATTCTCGGAAGCTCCCCAACGTGGCAAGCCCCAGAGATGTTGAATATCGGGCATGGAGCAGGGGNGGGGGGGGGGGGGGGGGGGGGGGGGGCGAGGTTTCTCGTGAGATGTATGCATACGCTGCATTACAACGGTCTACATGCGTGCACATTGGTATGATTTCTGCGTAGGCCGTGCTGTTTCACCGCGCTCCCACAAGGCTGGTCTTGAAGCAAACACCCCCTATTATTGTTTTGAGAAGCCATAACGTGAACGTTCGAAAATGCGCACGAGCAAGCGACCCGCGTCTGCCATGCATTCAGGAAAAGAGCACGGCGTAGGCAGGAATCAACGTCCCTCACAGGAATCAGAGCAACACCGGTTGCCGTCCATGCCCCAGCGATGATTGGGTTAGGGTTAAGGGTGAACACGCCGATAGGTGTTCGGCCGTAGCTCCCTTATGAGAGGCTGGTTTGGTGTGTTACTTTTATCCCCGGATATCGGGGTCCTGTATCTTGCAAGGTGCTGCTGCGTGCATCGGAGAAGCGATGGGCATCGGGCTAGAGCATGGAGAGGGCGCGCAACGAGTACGGAAGTTGGTTTAGCTCGCAACCCCAAAGTCATTAGCATTTGCAAGATGCCGTAAATATATCATTTACATTTTTTTTACCATACGAGCGACCCCTGTATCTCGCAAGTTGTTTGACAAGCGATGGCATTGTCCGCCGGACCCGGATTTCACGTCATTCCCTCCCGCCCCCCGCCCCCCCTTTTATTAGGTTCTACGGTGGCTTCATCTTTCTGGAAGAAGAGGCTAGTCTTTCTTGCGAAGGAGCCACGATCAGGGACCACTATGCCGGCGACCAGGGCGGAGGTATCTACGGCCGAGATGCAACTTGGGTAAACTCCAGCTGCGACTTGATCGGCAACGCAGCGCCGCAGGGGGCGGCGGTGTATCTGACGCACACCGTCATGGCCGCCAACTTCACGAACCACGAAGTTACCGACAACGTGGCGTCGGGGGGCAGCGTACTCTACGCCACCGAGACCGCCGTCTTCGCAACGGGGTTAAACTTCCAGTCCGGGGTGGGCCTGCAGGAGGACTCTTCGAACCGCGCGATACAGCTGGAGGGCGAGACGACCCTGGTCGCGGACGGGTGCGTCTTCGGCGGCTGGATGGGCGACACGGTGATCCGCAACTCGAACACCGCGCCGGGGTCCCTCACGCTGGACAGCTGCGACTTCAGCGAGAGCGCGGCCGTCATGGTGGTTGGGTCCCCTCACTCGGACGCCCTCATCCGCAACGCCGTCGTCGACCACCTCACCATCGAGAACGCCGCCCTGGTGAACGACTCCCTCGTGCTGGTCGACAACGCCTTCGACTGCAGGACCTCGGGCATCTGCGCGGCCGGGGAGTGCGTCGACAGCGTGCTCGGCGTGCTCTGTGAGTGTCTCTCGGAGGACTACTGCCTCAATGATGGGGGCGCGCTGTCCATCAGCCTGCTCGTGCATCCGCTGAACGTCACGTACAGCCCGGACCCTGTGTACTTCGAGCTCCTTGTGTCGGCGTCGGCGGATGGGGTCACGCCCACCATCTGGAACCTTTCCTACGAGGCGGATGACCTTGGGCTGCAGGTCCTGCCGTCTAGCGGTATCCTTCCTCCGGGGGAAAACGTAACCGTCGCCATTACCGGTAACCCCCTGCAGGACGACGTCGGGGGCGTGCTGGTCACCCGTTTCGTCGTCACCTCTGCGGGGAGCGGCACTGCGGAATCATCGTCATCGACGGGGGTGGAGTTGGAGGTGAAGTCGGAGTTCTACCTGTGTCAGGCCTTCGAATACGCCATGCCGGTGGACGGGGACGATGACGACAACGACCCGGTATGCCTGCAGTGCGCGAACTTCGACGGTGCGGAGGGGCTGGACTGCGAGTCCCCGGGGGCGACGCTGGCCTCGCTCCCCGTCCGGGAGGGCTACTGGCGGTCGAGCCAGGAGTCTCTGGTGGTCCACGGGTGCCTCAACTCCGACGCTTGCGCCGGTGGCACGCAGATCTCGAGCTCGGACGACTACTGCAAGGATTGCTACGAGGGGCCATGTGAGCGCGCGAACGGAACCGTTGCGGGCCATTAGTGTTCAACGCCGTCGGGCTTTTGTTTTGCAGTAGTCTGCGCAGGTTTCATGTAATGCAGGCAAACATATTGGGTACAGTTTAGAATCGGTTAAGTTAGGGTTCGGGATTACGTACCCCCTGTCTGGTCGTTTGTCATAGTACACTTAGTACTTGCGTAGGCAGTCCGCTTTAAGCCTTGACAGTAGACCGCAGCGCTCTTCTCCTCCTGGTGTACAGCAAGCACCCACATGAAAAGGAACCTGTTATTTTGCGCACCCCTGGAGATCTCGTTTGCTCTGGGGGACGTATGAACTTGTACTCACTAGGTTCATCGTGGTCCAGGGTCGGGTTTCAAGGTCTTTTGGTTCGACTAGTTTGAAGCGTTCGTGTTCTTAGGCCCGACCCCTTCTGCTGACGTGGTACCCAAAGTTAGCAATTCTTCCGACCCTGAGTGTTTCCATCGGAGGCCTGTCAGAATAATTTTGATTTTCCTTCTCCCGCCCCGTCCGTCCCTGACGGCCGCCGACCCTGCCGTGGGCCTTCGCGCTCCCCAGACTGCGCCGTCTGCGCGGAAGGTTGCTGCGAAGGCTCCTCCCACACCTGCTACCGGTGCTCGGGGATAAAGTCTCGGCTGCTCATGTTCGCGGGCATCGTCTTCGGGGTGACCATCGTGCTGTTCCTGGGGTTGGCGATCGTGTTCCTCATCGGGGGTCTGGACGCCGTCAACAGCATGCGCTTGAGCATGTCGAGGAAGCTCTCCGTCTCCGGGAAGATCCGCGGCAGCATCTCCCGCTCCTACCACGAGGGGAGCAGCACCAGCAAGAAGCCGTCCGGGCGGAGCAACTTCGGGGAGGACGATGACGACGACAACGACGGTCGTGGTCGTTCCGCTGCCGTGGGCGACGCCGCCGTTGATGAGGAGAAAACACGCACCGCCGCAGTTATCGGGCTCGGGCCGGGAGACTACTCGCCGGAGCGGCCACTATCGACGGCGGCGACGGCGGCCGCCGTCGACAGAGCGCGGATTCTCGAGGTCGGCGCGCGGATGTCGGACGCCGGAGGCGAGAGCTCGCGGACGGGGTGCTGCGGGCTCGGCGGGAGGATCAAGCGCTGGGTGTCGCTGCTGCCGATGGACAAGCTCAAGATCCTGGTGGTTGTGTGGCAGATCCTGACGGTTTTCCCCAGCATCACGGGGGTGCAATTCCCGCCTTCTTACTCGCGGTTCCTCTCGTGGGTCGACGTCGTGAACCTGGATGTGGGACAAGTGTTCACGGCATCTTGTTTGCTCCCCTCGGTTAGCTTCTACCAGAGGCTGCTGCTGACGACGCTGACACCGATCGGACTGGGGTGTGTGCTGGTGCTGACGCACTGGATGGCCAAGCAGAGGGCGGGGATCGGGTCCGCCAGCGTTCTTGCGAGGAGGGCGGCGTGGTCGAGGCACATGGCGGCCGGGTTGCTTCTCACATTCTTGGTGAGATAGGTTTCTCCAAGCGGTGCTACACCTTATGAGTCCTACTCTCGCTGGCTGTGCGTATCTGAGCAGCGGAAAATCTATCATTTGACGCTATTTAGCAGAGTATGTTCGATCAGACTTGGTACCAAACGTGAAAAAGCGTCTGAGCAGTGGAAAATTTCTCATTTGACTCTATTTAGCAGAACATGTTCGCTCAGCATCAACTAGTTTGTTGATGGCCGAGCGGGTATGGAATACCTTTGGCGTGGTGGCTTAAAAGTAGCCAGGTCTACCCTTGTCATTGTTGCTGCTGTGTGACTTCGATCTACATGTCAACGATGCGCGAGGCGCGTGCTGTATACCGGGAGGGCCGAGATCTATCACGAAGTTCAGCCAGCTACTTTTCTAGACAAGAAAAGTCGCCATCATCTACAGCAGTACATAGGTCACATCTCCGTTCTTGCCGAAATATTTTTCAACACGATGAACAGCGCATCCATCCTCAATTGTTTTCCGTTTTTTCGTAGCCAAAAGCGGCCTAGCCGGGGCTGCTTTTGTTCTTACTACTGTACGATATCTCTCCGTCTATCATTTTTTGTGGGGGAGGCATGTTGCTGTGTAGTGTTGTAGGTACACACGAGAGGACGGATATTTGTTGCTGCATAAATTGAATGCGAAGCAGGAGGTGCTGGGTATTTGTTGGCTAAATGGGTTTTATGTGAAAATACCAGCAGCAACTCCCCATGGATGTAGGCCGTTAGCCTTTGAAATTGGCCGGGATCTTGTTCATGCTCCCGAACAAGGTCGAACGAGGAAAGACGTATACAAAACATCAGACAATTCGAGACCTTAAAGTGACGGTGAACGTTCAGTTCTTTGAGTAGGTCGAAGGCCTAAAGATTTTGAAACAAATCAGCCCAATATCGACAAGAGCAGTTCCCAAAGCAGAGTTGCTTTTTCTCCAACATTCATGTACCGACTTCGAAGAGCAACTGCCAATAACGAGAAACACGTAACAATACGGTTCCTTCCGCAAAGCAGCTCGTAGTCTCGTAGTTGCAACAGAGTTAGACCGGGGCACTTTTGCACGTTTCCGAAGGTTTGTATGTGCGCCGTGTCTGACGCGCATGTCACGGAACCAATGGTTGTTGCCAAGGTGTTCACATCGACCTCCACGATGGCGTTCAAGACCTTCCCCTGCGACGATGAAGCCGTAGAAGGAGAGAGCTACCTCAGGGCGGACTACAGCCTATCGTGCAAGACGGACAAGCACATGTACTTCAGAATCTACGCTGGGATTATGATTTTGGTGAGGAGCAAGCCGTCGTTACAGCAAACGTCAAGCCAAGCTCGTCTTGTAAACTCCAGACACCGTTGTCCTGCGTGTGAGATCTCTATTTTCACAACACCATAAACTCCCAATTTTCATTTATTTGTCCTGGCCAAACAATGTGTATACCAACCCCGCCGAGAATTATGCCTCCAGTCCTGCTTGTAGACCCCCCTATAGTTCTAGAACCCTCACCACACCCTCCTTCCCCCCCACACGTCGATGGCGCTGCACAGGTTTACCCTATCGGCATCCCCCTCCTGTACGCCTTCATTCTCTGGATAAATCGAGAGTCCCTCAATCCGAGGGTAAGAAGCGAAGCAACCCCGCAGCCGACAGGAGGGGTTGAGATGGACGTTGCCCTCGTGCCGGCGAACTACGGAGACGACCTGGAGGAGAGGCTGGAGCAGCGAAGGAATAACCCGGACCTAGTGCCGTCCATGTTCCTGTGGAAAGACTTCGGTGAGCACTCCGATCTGTCTGCCGCTCATTGAAGCCGAAATCAACCCCAGTAGACTCGTCAAAGTGCCTGCTCACTATTTATTCTGATGGGTTTATTTCGGGTTGTTTTTGTTGTTTTTGTTGTTTGGGCCCCGCGACATCTATTAATTGAAGTGGACACCAAATGGCTTTAGATCGGCTTTTACATGTATACTCCAGTTCGCCTACTTCCGTTTTTCGGGACATCTTTCGCTGGCGGAAGCGAGTCTTTTCTCACGCTTCCTCCCGGGGGCACGCAGGGGATCGTGGGTACATTACCGCGCACGCCACCCGTGGCGCTTGTGCTTGACTCCGGATGTTGAAAAAACTGGCTCTCTACCCCGGGGACGTGTCCCGCGCGAAGAAACCCGTAGCCTTCGTAAGAAATACAAAAAAAAATGCTTAACACAACCAGGAAAAATTTTGTTTGAATTCCTGCGCAACGCATGCAAGTGCCACAGACTGTGGGCAACACGGAGACATGAAGAGTGAACGGTTGATCGCAGCGGATTCCAGCAGTTGGACCTGCAGCATAGACGCCACTAGCTTAAAACCACATACTCCCGCACACATGAACGGTCACGGCGAGAAAAAAGAATTGATGCCCCGCACATGATGCAAATGCCAGGCAAGTTCTGCAGGTTGTACGCAAGACCGGCACAACAGTACCGAACGGTATGAACTTGAGATGCAACGCCAGCCATGTCCTATTTCGTCTCCCCCGGGATGCAAGCCACCTATCTCTCGAAGGGGGGCCTTGTACTTACCTACAAATTCCCGAGAAACAGCACCAAAAGTGTGTGTTCGCCGTGTTTGGCCCTCACTCATCATGGGAGGCGCACATAAGTAGACGTATATCGTAGAACCAAGGTCTCGTTTTTTCAGAAAATGCAACCTCATGCATACAATCACAGAAGACTACCCGTTCGAGAAAAACCAAATCGAAGGGACGATGAAGATTTTCCAGCGACAAGTTTTTTTTTCTCTTCTTCTGCGGGACAGGTCCCGACATGTACTACTACGAGGTGATCGAGTGCGGCCGGAGGATCCTCCTTACGGGCGTGCTGATTTTTTTCGCGGCCGGAACTGCCGCCCAGGCGGCCATGGCCTGCATCTTCGCCTTTGTTAGCCTGCTGGGCTTCGAGCTGCTAAGACCCCACCTCGACCCCGCGGACGCGTGGCTCTACCGCCTGGTGAGCCGCGGCCTAACTCATGAGAGACTTCACTTCAGGGCACCCACCCACCCGTCGTGGATTAGGCTCGAATCAGAGAGGAAGAGCGTTGGGAAACGAATTGCGCAACTGTTAACACGTCAATATTTCCTCAACAAGTTGCTGTCGAAATCGGCGCTGATGAAGAGTCACTGCAGTAACAATATTCTCTCACAGGTCGTCGTGGAAGGGGGACGGATACAGAGCCATCCCCAGCAGGGAGGGCACAGGTGCAAGTAGCGCAGTGGGTGAATTTCATTGACCTGTGTACGCAAAAGGAAGGACGCGCGACGTTGGACCTCGCGCGGATTCGATGTGCACAAGAGTGCGGTTCACAAGCCACAGCGGTTGATGCAAATGCCAAGGGTCCCAAGGACACCATCACGACGGACCGGGGCGCATTTCGAGCATCTCTCCGTCACGCGCGTGCCACGCCTGTTTCTCCACAAACGCTTGAAACGGAGTCCTACCAACCGCTCTAACCGCCCTCTTTCGCCGCTTCATGATTGCCTGCCTCGCCGTTCTTGTTCCCGTGCCGTTGTCGCCAACTGTCACCTGCCTTTCGCAGGGCTGCGTGATCATCTTCCTGAGCAACTTCTTAGCGTGAGTGTGTGTGTTTTAGCATCAACCGCGCCAACCGACTGACCAAAGTGAAATAGGTCAGTCTCAGTGCGTGTGTTTGTGCTTGTTTGGTTGTGTTCGTCCGGTGTACTCTGGCACCAACCACTCTACACGTCTTTCGGTTTACATGTTTAACGTATCAAATGGAGTAACACAAATGAAAGGTCACGGAAAAGCTATTTCGTCTTGTTTTTTTAAGCCCCACATCTCCGCCTGCAAAAAATTCCCTTTGAAAGACAACAAAAACTTTCTGTCTGAGCCCTGTTCGCTTTCTTCCTGTGCCGACCTCCCTCTTGGTCGATTTGCATGGGTTTTTCGGTTCTCAACGTCTTCATCAGCAATAGGCTTGATTTTGCGACTGACGGTTGTTTGGTGCCAAAACTCTTTCCGTCGCTCCAGGCTTTTGATCAAGGTCGACGCCGCCGGGGAGGGCAACCGCGCCGCCCTCGGGGGCATCCTGATCGCCGTCAACGTCTTCCTCATCCTGGCGGTGCTGTCCACCTCCTGGTTCGCCACGCAGCAGATGGTAGACGACAACCGCAACGAGGAGAACTCCCTCGCCCTTGCGAAGACCATGCTGACGTTCGAGCAGCGCGTGGCTGACGACGCAAAGGTAGTCCGCGGGAAGAAGCAGACTCCGGAGTCGCCGCAGTCTAGCGTCGGGGCGGTTTCGGGACGCGGCTCCTGCCGGTCTGTCGGACCGAGACCGTCTGCGGAGAACCAGCAGCAACGCGGCGTGCTGAGCTCCTTGCGCAGGGGGAGCGTGAGCGCCGCCACCGTGAACGCGCTGTGGGAGGCGGGGAAGACCGAGGGCTCTTCGAAAGGACAGGAGAGGCCCGTTTAGAGCCGACTTCCTGACCCTTGACATGAAGTTGCACGTTTTGGGTCGTTTTACATGAATCAATTTGGCTTCTGGGTTGTTTCGTGGATAGATTGTTTATATGATCTTCTGCTACTCTTGATATTGTTAGTAGTTTGCACGGTGTTCGTAGGAAACGCTGCTTGGGAGAGCGCAAGGCGCAGACGGCATCGAGCCGGCAGCACAAGGGGTTTCGGGGAGTTTTCAGCCCACCCATCTAGATTATACGGAGTGGTTTGTGTCTTTCCTCGGCCCTCTGCCTGATGTTTGTGTGGACCGTATTGACTACTTGTCAGGCTTCGCGTGGCGCTGGTCCTCGTGCATTAATGAGTCGCTAACGACGTGCTTTGTATTTTGGTGCAGTCTATCTTATCGGCGTTGTCCCTAATGTAGGAGATGCCGCGCCATGATGATATCTGGGGCTGACTGCACGGCAGCTAGTCCAGAGAAATTCGGTGTCTCGTGTCAAAAAGTTGTGAATGGCCACCGCCATGTTTCACGTTTGGTGTGTGTGTGTATGTGTTTTTTTATTATTAGCATCGACAGCGCTAACCGGCTGACCAATGACAAGACGTCAGTCTTAGTGCGGTTGAAAACACAAAACACTTCTATCTACCATGAACTGTGTGTGTGTGTGTGTGTGTGTGTGTGTGTGTGAAATGGCCACGTTGCACGTGTGGTGGCGAGTGTGTGTGTGTGGAAATTTGATGTGTGTGGTTGTGCCCGGAGCGTTTGCGGGCTACAGTACGGCCGGAAACGAGCAGCACTGATTGAATCCAGTGTCGCGCACATAATGTTCCTTCGATGGCGTAGTTCGTTCGATGATATGTGTGTTGTGCTGATGTTGTGGTAGAATCAAAAGGCACGAGTGTGTTGTGCCGTGTACACGTGTGTCACAGTAGTTCGCGCTGATTTGGGACCCACAAAATTTATGATAGATTTCTTGGTCGTATGCCGAACAGGGTTTGACCTGTCCCTACGCCGTCTCTGGTGGGCTTCAATGCCCACCCAAAGCGCTCCCTGTGGGTAAATAACGATAATAACGTTGCGGTTGTCGCAATGAGGGGATGTACACATACATGTGGGTAGGGACGAACTTATAGTTTACCAGTCCTTGCTGGTGTGGACAATCCAGTCAAGGCAAGAGCTGAAGGGATCACCTCATGTCTTCACCGAGTTTCGTGAACTTTCCATACATTTTCACACCAGATTAGCGTAGTGCCCGAAACTACATACATTGAACACCGTATCCCACCATGTATTTCGTATGCCGACCATCGCACATGATTCATCACTATCCATCGCCTTGTACCCCTGCCCTCCGATCCTGCCATGATTTCCTTGACCACTTTTTTCTGTTGAAGGTGGCAAAACCGGGGCCTCCAAGTACGAAATTCCTAAGCTCTACTTTTGCTCGAGGTCTCTCCAGACAAAAAGTCTCGTCTAACAACGAAACTTTTGATCCGTTCCGCACAACTAAAAAACATTGACTTCTTACTCTAGGAACGGACTCACAATATGGAACGGTTGTTTCGCCCCCAAAGGAAAACCATTGAATTCCACCACGTGACGGCGGAGAGGTAACGAACGGTAGCCACACGTTCCTCCGGAATCCAGAAAGACCCACACCAGTCTAACCTTGACAGGCAAATGCAGAGGAACATTCGTCTGGCGGACGGATCCCGGTTGGACTTCACCGTTTCCAGGGCCTTAACCACGGTCTTCCTTCATGCACTTCTCCTTCTCGAGTGCATGCCGGGGGAACCATCTCGACTCTTCACGGTAGTCGTGCCGACTTGTTCGGTAGAGAGTTCATCAGTTCGCTGCAGAATCGTGCGATATGCTGGTATTTCGTGTGCCAATATTGATGTAACCAACAACAACAATAACAACAACAACAACAACAACAACAACAACAACAATAACAACAACAACAAGGTATTCGTGTTCATGGCATCGGGAGGGCGAACGTAAACATGGCAAGAGGCGGACACGTGGCACTCCCCCCACACCGACCTTTGAAGCTCGATGGCTCCACAACCAAGAGCGCGCGGAAAGAGTCCGATACGTGTATGGCAAGCTCGCGACGAGATATTTCAAGAACCTCTATTAGAATATATTGTTGAATTTGGAATAATCTTTGTTGTGGAGCCATGTATCGAGCATAGCAAAACGGTCTAGCGGGGGAGCCATCTCTCCGCCTCTTGGGGTAGTCGAGAGGTGAAAATCCAGTACCGAGGAGCTTGAACTGTGTATCTTGGCGGCGTGTGCTGTGGCCAGCAAGAATTGGGCCAGCCAACCCCGTTCCAGCGCTGCGGCCGCGTTTCCTCCCAAGTATCACGGCCAGAGTGCGCTGGTAATGGATTTCGAGTCCAACAATGTTGTTCGTCAAAATATGAAGTCGAGCTACAGCCCCCCCACAGCAGCTGCCGTGGTACATGTTCCGGGCGTGACGGCGTGCTGATGACGTCATGCGCTGGGCAGGCTTCTGTAACCAACGTGTACTACTGCACTCACTCGGGCACCACCACAGTAATACAATCAAACTATTCGTACGCATAGTCTGAACGAAACATGTGAAGCCAACGTCTGATGGAGACCCGGAACGATTGTCATGTAGCTCTGCCCTGGTCCCAGTCGCCCCCTCAGCAATATGTACATCAACAATCCGTTCTATTCCTGTTCTGTTTCAAGTGCGTGGCTTTGGACCCGAATAAATCCAATTCGAAAAGAGACGCGTATCCGTCAATAAGAACCGAGTTTTGAAAAGTTTCCTCCGGAGAAATCGATCCCCACGACGAAACACTTACCCTGACCGGCTACACTCGGGGCGGGGGGGGGGAGCTACACGTCATTTTTGGTGTATTGACTGTTCAACCGTTCTCCGATGAGAACGAGAGGGGGGGGACCAACAGACAGATGACGAGGAAGCCAAACCAAAATGGCTCCCCCCGTGAGTAAACAACCAGAGCCAAAACCGATGAGCGGTTCTCGCAACTCTCCTTTCAAAGCACAAAAAACGACATTCACAAAATATCATGAAACGTGGCCGAATTTGAGGGGTTTCGAACTTGCGCCCGCGCTAAACTGGGAGGTAAGGCTCGTTGCCGAATGGCAATGTTTGACTTCGGAGGATAGGTACGTAGACTATGCATGCCGTGTTTTCCGGCAGCTTGGGGGTGCCACCCTGGACAAAACAGCCCCCTTGCGACTGAGGCCACGCGCTTGCCAAATCTCAACATGACCTACAACCGGAAGTCGCTTGGAACATACTTGAAAACGTGAAATTTCCAAATCTACACCTCCAAAATATCACACATGGATATGTCTACATGTATTGAAGATCCTTGCACCGGGTTGCTCCAGTAAGTCAGCTTTCCCCGCCGACAGCGGCACCGCCGGGAGTGGGGAGCGCCGAGGAGGTCGCTGGAGCCCGCCCCTCTCGAGCGAGCCGGGCGCTTTTCGCGGCCACCTGCTCGAACGTCAGCATGGTCTTCGCCAAGGCTACAGGATTCTCGTCGTCACGGGAGTCGTCCACCGACTGCTGGGTGGCGAGCCAGGTTGAGAAGAGGACGGCCAGGATAAGGAAGATGTTGATCGCCACCATGATTCCCCCCAGGACGGCGCGGTTGCCCTCTCCCGCCGCATCCGCCTTTATCAGCAGCCTGGACGGAGGGGAAAATACACCGAGCTGATGAACGCCTTCCCCAACATTTCTCTTGGCATTTTCTACATTGGCTGAAGATGAGCGTGGCGTGACCAACAAACGGGGATACAACAACAGAAAGACCTGCAAGAAATTATTGTTGTGGTAGAACATACTCACGCCAAGAAGTTGCTGAGGAAGATGACCACGCAGCCCTAAAGAGCGGCGGCGAGTGCAATACCGAACCGGACCCCGGGAAACGACCAAGGAGAAGCCGGGCACGTACGCGCGTACACGGGGGAGGGAGAGGTAAGGAACGGGAACGCTGTGATTCAGTTTTTGGCTTGAGGACGACGCGCCGAGAGGCTGTTTTGCGCTGCCAGTCATCGTTCTATGCAGGATGAGTGCGTGAACAATCAAACAAATCACCAAAGAAGGAAAGCATGTGTCCTGCCCATATGCTCGCCGATGCTCGGGGGTTATGACTGAATTAAATCCCGAACAAAAATTTCACGAGCATGACATAATGAGCAACATGAATCCTCCCAGAACATGCCATGCTGTTAAGGAAGCTCCCGGCGCGGCAGCCGCGGCATCGCCTTGCCGCAGGATTGCACATGGTCTTTGTTTTCAGGCGAAAAACCAAACCGCACACCAAACGTCGAGTGTACTTCTCATTCCGTTGATGCAAGTCATCGGGAGAATTCCCTCATCTCCTGACAAGAAAGCATACACAAAGAGTAGTGGTCTTATCTCCTAGTTCCATGACAACAAAATCCTTTACGGGATGGTCCGGGCTATTGCTTTATTTGTTGCTGTAGTTGCGTCACCAAACACTTGCCCCGGTATCAACGTCAGTGCCGAAATGACGACTAAACCGCCCTCACCCCGCATTACTGTTGTGGTCGTTAAATGTTCCCATTGTCCCTCCCTCCCTCCCTCCCTCCCTCCCTCCCTNCACCAGGCGGTAGAGCCACGAGTCTGCGGGATCCAGGTGGGGTCTCAACAGCTCGAAGCCCAGCAGGCTCGCGAAGGCGAACATGCAGGCGATGGCCGCCTGGGCCGCCGTGTGCGGGGCGATGAAAATCAGAGCCCCCGTCAGGAGGATCCTCCGGCCGCACTCGATCACCTCGTAGTAGTACATGTCGGGACCTGTGCAAGCAAGTAGCAGAGGGGAGTCAACAGTGTGGAACCCTGAACGGCATCGATCATGCCATCGGACAACAAGGGCTCGGCGGGAAGAAAAGACCCTGCTGCACGGAACAGAGCAACGCTCGGTTTGCTTGACACGTATGTTGATCCAATTCACTAAAGAACTTCCTCGTACCGAAGTCTTTCCACAGAAACATGGAGGGTACCAGGTCCGGATTCTGCCTGCGCTTCTCCAGCCTGTCCTGCATCTCTTCTTGCGTTTCCCTGGGACCCTCGTTCATTTCCCCATCCAGCTCTAGACCGGCGCTATAGCTTGCCCGTGGGTTGAGGGAGTCTCGGTTTCTCCAGAGTATGAAGGCGTACAGGAGGGGGATGCCGATTGGATACACCTGAGGATCGGTCGTGGTGGTTGGAAGATGTCAACGGGAAAACTCCAGCAAGCGAAGAGATTCATGGCCACGGCTGCGCAAACGGTTTTCGCAGAGGAACGGCTGAGGTGGATGGATACCTCAGGGCATATTCTGGTACAAGCCGATGGGATCGCTGGCTCACACCGATGTTTGGGTGACAAGCCCCAGGCGTTGTACATGAAGCTTTGACCACGGACAGAGCATTTCTCTGCTGCGTCTCACCGCGATCATGACCCCAGCGTAGACCTCGTACCACGCATGCTTGTCTGTTTTACACGATATGCCGTAGTCTGCCCTAAGGTAGCCCTCTCCCTCCACCGCTTCATAGTCGCAGGCGAACGTCTTGAAGACTATCGTAGACGAGGAGGTGAACACCTGCAAAAAGAGACAAAAAGGCGTCATCACTAAATTGAAGCATACCAAAATGTTCTAGGCTCCCGAGGTCCTAGTGTGAAAAGGCCCAGCCAAGGGGGTGGCCGAGAACGTTTTGTGTGAAGCCCGCAGAGTATGTTCCTGCTTCAACGTTCGCTCCTTTTGCTCGCGTGTAGCCTGCGTACGGCGCATGCCTCATTCTTCCAGAGAGAAACCCATCTCACCAAGAAGGTCAACAGCAATCCTGCCGCCATGTGCCTCGACCACGCCGCCCTCCTGGCAAGAACGCCGGCCGACCCGATTCCTGCGTTTCGCTTCGCCATCCAGTAAGTCACCAGTAGCACGCCTCCCAGCCCGATAGGTGCGAGCGTCGTTAGCAGCAGTCTTTCGTAGAACGTCACGAATGGGAGGGCGCAGGAGGCAGAGAAGATGTGGCCGACATCGAAGTTGACCACGTCAATCCAAGACAAGAACCGGGAATATGAGGGTGGGTAGTCCACCCCCGTGATGCTGGGGAAAACCGTCAGGATCTGCCACACAACCACCAGGATCTTGAGCTTGTCCATCGGCAGCAGCGACACCCAGCCCTTTATCTTTTCGCCAAGCCCGCGATACCCCGACTTTCCTCCCGCCGCAGCCTCCGCAGGTGCCGCGTCGGCGTCGGCATCAACTGGAGGATGGCTACCGCCACCGCCGCCTGCAGCAAACCGTCCACAAAACGCAGCGTCCTTTCCTGCGATGGCAAGCGGAAGTATCAAGCTCGCGTGGGAGACATCAATGGATCCGTCCGATTTGTCCTCGCCGTGATCGTACCCCAACAAATCGCCCGGTGGGTCAAAGTCGCCACCGGTTCTCTGCCCTCCGACCTCTCCGGAGTCATACTCTAACGCGAGGTCATCGACTTGGCGACTCGCGCTGATATTTCTGGCCGACGCGGATCTTCCCGGCAAGGTCGGGCCGGGAGGAGGAACAGACTGTGCAGCCCTAGTCGTCGTCTTGCCCGGGACGCGTAGAGAGCGGGCCAAGGATCCGCGGACGCTCGCGACGGCGTCGAGACCCCCGACGAGGAACACGGCCGCGAAGAACAGCAGCAGTAGGGCCACCAGGAAGAAGACGGAGCCCGCCGCGATGAGGAGTCGGGCCTTAGACCCAGTGCAGGAGTGGCACGTGTTGCCGACGCCCTTACCGTACCCTTCCGCGCACACGGCGCAATCTGCGGGGGGGGGTGATGGGAGAAAAGGAAGTCAGGCTTTGCTATTATGTTGAGGCACCTGGAAACCTCCGGGTTGTAGTTTTGTGAGATACGTTAAAGGTAGGTTACGAGCACGTAGGAGGGAACGGGTACAGCGGCGACCGCTCCAAAGGCCAGAGACAAGCAACAAGTGTCAAATTCACCCGTGTCATGCCATGAAGGCCGGAATGCTTGCCCGCACTATTTGCGAGAGCCACCACCTGCTGGATACAACACAATTTGGGCCGTATTTTAGCTTGGTTCTCACATGGACCCTCGTACCCCCCGTCGCAGTAATCATCTGAGGTCACAATCTCTGTCGCGCCAACGCAAGCGTCAGAATGAAGGCACGCGTGAATCACCAGAGACTCCTCGCTCGATCGCCAGTACCCGGCCCTCACGGGCAAGGAGGTCTGCGTCGCCCCGGCCTGCTCGCAGTCCACCCCCTCCGCGCCAACGAGTAAGACGCACTGCTCACACACGACCTTTTCCTCGTCAGGCATGGCGTACTCGAACTCCTCGCAGAGGTAGAACTCCGTCTTTACCTCTAGCCCCACCCCAGCGGTCGCCGAGTCCGCGCTGATGCCGCTACCGACAGAGGTCACCACAAACTGACTGATGAGGCTCCCGCCCACGTCTTGCTCAGTAGACCTCCCTGTGACGGAAATGGTCACGCTTCCGCCTGGGGGCAACACTCCGCTAGACGGGAGAGCATTCAGGTCCAGCTCTTCAGCCTCGTACGTGAGGTTCCAGATGGTGGGCGTAGTCCCGTTCGCGGCTGCGGAGACCGCGAGATCGAACTTAACCCAATCGGGGCGGTACGTGGCGTTCGGCAGCTCACCACTTACGGTGAGGGAGATCGCCCCGCCGTTGTTTAGACACACGCCGTCCTCTAGGCACTCGCACAGCACCCCGAGATCGCTGCGTACGCACTCTCCCGGCCCACAGGCATTATCAGCGTCACAGCCCATGGCTTGATCGACGAGAACCAGCGAATCGTTCACCGTCTCGACGTTCTCAATGGTGAGATCGCCGACTAGGGCATTGCGTATCTCGGCGTCTGAGTACGGTGAAGTAACGGTCATGGTCGTGGAGCTCTCGCTGAAGTCGCAGCTGTTGAGCACAAGAGAGCCAGCACTGGGGTTTGCGTGGTAGAACACGGTGTCCCCCAGCCACCCGCCGAAGACGCAGTCCTCGGCAACGAGAGTCGCTGTGCTGTCGGTGTGCACCCCGAAGATGCACGTTTCTTCCTGCAGGCCATCGGCCGACTGAAAGTTCACCCCTCTCATGACGACCGAGCTACCGCTCACGCCCAGCACGCTGCCCCCTGCAGTCGCAACGTTGTCGGTCACGTTATGGGCTTCAAAGTTGGCGCTGGTTACCCCAGTGAGGTACGTTGCGGCTCCCTGCGGGGCCCCGTTGCCGATCAAGTCACAGCTGGAGTTGACCCATACGGACGTTTCGGCGTAGATTCCGCCGCCTTTGTCGCCGGCATTATTGTCTTCGATCGTGGCTCCCTCGCAGGTCAAGCTGGTCTCTTCCTCTAGGTGCACGAACCCGCCATACAAGCTGTTTTGGTCATCATCGACAGCATTTAGATCAAGTCGATGAGGGCGTGGCGCTCGCACGGGCATGAAACGCAGGCACCAATGTCAGCTACTCAGATTCAAGAAATGGACACCGTCGGAGTGTCCGAAGCGTACACAATACAAGCCAAGTCTACCGGTAGCCCGCCCCCCGGCCCCCTCGAAACGATTGGCCATCGGTGATCGATGCTGTGGGAACAATGCTCCGTCCTCTCGACGACGTGTGGTCAAGGATCTAACCGCTAAGGCATGCAAACATGAGTGCTCCACCCCGAAACAAAATCGCACACAGCAACCGCGCGCATGACCCGCCGGCAAGCTCACTTGGCGTAGTTGTTCCGAAACACGCCTCCCTTGATATTCACCACGGTTGTATAACCCGAAGCCGTGATCACCCCCCCCATGTTGAGCCCCTGGTTCTCGCTGAAGGTGCCTCCTTCGATGACGAACGAGCCTCCTAGGCCGGTCGTATCCCCAGAACAGTAAATCTTGATATTCATGTTGACAGGCAAAGGGCGAAAATCAAGGCCATATGTTTTTCACACTCTTGTCGCAGCAAGAAAGATACCATGTACGCAACGCATCGTGCGCTTGGTCATGGTATCCGTAAACAATCAAACTGGTACAAACTTCTTGAAATACGAATGAACCAAGCGACTGTGTGCGACGATGCCTACACATAACCTCGTCGCACAGCAACATCGACCAGAGGGACACTCAAAAAGTCAGCAAGTGCAAGAATGAACCCGAAAATGGCAACAGCAACAACCATCAGCTGTAAGCGAGTTTCGCTCGGAGGTAGAGGCTCCGCTGTTGTTCCAAGTCCTGCTCACCACGGCCCCTCTCCCCGCGGCAACGTTTTCGGTGAATGTTCCCCCCCTGATGTTCACCCGCGAGGAGTCGAAAGCGTACAAAACTCCGCCGTCGTTCGCCGCGGTACACATCGCGAACTCCCCCCCATTTACAGTGATGTCGCAGCCCCCCGACCCATCTGCAGGCCAAGGGCCGATAGCGTGTCGTGTGAGAAGGGGATACGTGCCGGTATTGTCTCTTTCCCAGCTGTGGCTGTCATGTGACGCCGGTGCCGTAGTTCTGTCAAAGGGCTAGAAGAAGCCTGAACAAACCTACGCACGTCGAGAAGACGCTGCGTCTGGGCACATGCCCGACTGTTTCAACGCAATCTTAGGCAATAGGTGCACAGCAGTATATCTTGGGAGAATAGTCGCCGACGAGACTACAGCTGTGTGAATGCTGCGCAGTGTTCAGCTTATCCATCAACGGCTATCTGAGTGTCGCTCCATGCATGGGCCCACGATAAGGGAGCACTGGTGACAAAGCGCTACGTAGTGACTTACATACGCAGCCCCCGTCGTTTAACGCGCTGTTCCCTCGCATGACCGTCCCATCGTTGACAATGCCCTTGCCAGCGGCGTAGTAGCAACCGCCGAGCCCTCCTGCGGTGTTGTCGCTGCACACAACGTCGTTGAAAACGACTGTCCCCGTCGGATCCCAACCGAACACCTGCGCAACCGGTTTGAGTGCCAACGAGGCAGCGTCAGTCTCAATCCTTCCGCAAACGTCAAAGCTGAATTCGATCGAAAGGTGTGGCTTTTTGAGGTGCAAGGAGAAGAACGAAGTTCAGAAGTGAAGCCAAGACGTGCGAAGTCAGGTGCAGGTAGCACAGCAAGGTAAAAACGAGAAGGATGACGTGGAGCCGAATATGTTCAGGCGCATGTAGCACAGTAACGTTGTTAATCAATGTAGCAAAACTCTACGAAGGGTAAGCAACGTACGACACACAATCTACCGTAACCGACGCAACCGGTTCTCACGCTGGGAGACCAGCCACGTAGCTTGTCTGTGCGCAACGGAAAAAATCGCCGAAAACTTCTTGAGACAAAAACGCCTCAAGCGATCATAGAATATGGCAGTTAGAACAAGAGGGTGAATGTCGAACAAAACATATAAACCCATCCGTACTACGACTAATATAGTGGCCATGGCGAACCCCACCGACGAAACAAGAACTCCAGCATTGCGGCAAGAAAGGGGTTCTTTAATGGGAAAGCGTACCGTATGAGGGCACTCACCCCAGCGCCATTCTCCTCGGCAGAATTGTTCGTCAGCGTTGTGCTTCCTCCGAGTGTGGCGGAGCACGCAGCGACTGCTGCACCGTACCCCAACGTCGTGTTGTTCTCGAACTTGCAGCCATCGATGACCATTTCCGTTGAATTCCCCCCGAACACCGCCCCACCCGAGAGCTGAGCGTAGTTCGATCCAAACACCGAGTCCGATATGTTAACCTCGGCATACCAGAATGCAGCCGCTCCGCCCCCATCAACTTCATCCGTGGAGACCCAATATGAAGGATATTGGATCTCTGTCTCGAGGGAGGCGTTATTCGCAATGAACACCGCCTCACTGAGAGAGCAAGAAGAGGTGGCGCCGTTTGCAAACGCCGTCGTTTCGTTCCCTCCGCAATACAGCCCGCCGCCCTCCACCGCCTTGTTGCCATCGAAGCGGGTGCCGTTTCGGATGACCAGCCCGGCCTCGGTGGCAAGAACGGCACCACCGTTCCCGCTGGCGCTGTTCCCGGAGAACTCCCCCCCGACTATCGTCAGGTCCCCGCCCTCCAACGCCACGGCCCCGCCGTCCCCGGCGGTTGCGATGTTGCGGTCGAAGACACAACTGTTGAGGGCGACCGATGCCGCGCTGGCGTAGACGGCGCCGCCGCTTGCAGCGCTTCCTCCCGAGAGCCTGAGATCGGTCAGCGTCAGGCCTCCCGACGAGGAAACGTAGAACATCTGGGTCTGGCCGCCGCCCAGCACCTCCGCCGAGTCGCCTTCTCCGGTGATGGACAGAAACGTCCCCGTCCCGACGGAAATGGGAGCGGTAAGAGTGACCGCCCCCGCCCAAACGGCCTCCACCGTCCCGCCGTTCGCGCAGTCAACGGCGGCGCCGAGTGCTCCGGCTTCGGCCACTGTTTCTACTCGGAGCGGCGAGGTGCTGCCGCATGTTGTCGTCGCTACCTGCGCCCATGCCTGTGGCCCTCCCGTCGAGGCTAGCACCAGACATGAGAGCAGGCGGCGGCGGTACCATGCTCGTCGTCGGGTGCCGCGGGAGCTCCACCCCATGCCCTCTCTGCTGCGAACGTGTCTCAGTTTTGCGAAGGTGGTTCGAACTGTGGAGTTGGTTTTCTCCTGTTTGGCGAACTGGGTCATGGAAACCTGAGATATAACCGCAAAATTGAGAAAAAAACATAAGATTCTGCACGTGTGGGGACAGATATGGTGGGCCGCGGTACCTAGACACAGGCGAAGTCGCATCAAGTAAGCTGATCCTCATAAACACTACAGCATGTTTTGTTGTTGAGTTTGTACTCGTGGAACTCCCGACTACGCCCGCACACTTTCGGGCTGGCGTAGATACCTAGCATGATAGTAGACGCTACCGGTGATATGCATGGTATTGGCAACCTCGGTCGAAGATGTTCACTACCACAATTGTCCGGCGATAAATTAAGACGATGCTACACAACATTAGTGGCTAAATGTTAGCGACGATACACAAGCAAGGGAGCAGACGCACGGACACGAGCGCAGCGACAGTGCCAGGCCCACTCGCAAGAGACATCCTCACAGGAAAAATCGAGGCTCAGAAAGTTTTGTGCAAGGAGAAATGGACAGAAGCGGGTACAATGCCCACCCCTACTGTAGGTTGTAATACCGGAGCAGAACAGCGTGGGCGTGCGTCCGGAGATATGGACGGGAGCTTTTCGACAGGCCGAGAGCACCGTTCCAACTCAAGACTCGCTTGCTCCAGGTGGAGGCGATGGAGGCACTGCTGTTCGGTTGCATGACATTAGCCCCACGTCGCGAACACTACCGGCTGTTGCGGTCGATGTATCACCGGCTGCTCCTGCGAGTTATCGGTTACCAACGCAACAAGGGCACCTACCGGCAGCGTTCCTACGCCCAGACTCTGACGAGGGTAGGGTGCCAAAGCGTGGAAGCCATTGTTCGGCAATGGCGCCTGCTGTTCGCGGGAGCATTGGCAAGGCAGCCAGACGGGCGGCTCCCGAAACAGTTGTTGTTTTGTCCTGTTTTGTCATGTTTTGTTCGTCTCTTGTCGCTACGTTAGTGGTTCTGGCGTGTGCCTCTTTCTCTGTTTCTTCTCCTCTTTTCCTTTTCATACAGTTTCGTTTCCAGATGATGACCTTGTCGCTACGGTAGTGGTTCTGGTGTGTGTCTCTTTTTTCTCATTTTGTTTCTTTTTCGCTTTTCCTTTTCATACAGTTCGTTTCAAGATGTTGACTTCCAGTCTATGGTTACCTCGTATAGCGTGTATGTAGCGGTGAGCGGAGGGTTCTTCATGTATCTGTCATTGATTTCTGTTGACTTGCGGATTCTTCTGGTTATTTTTTTTGCTAGGGTACCTTTTTGGGAAAGTTAGCCTGTGAAGCGACCGCGCCAACTGTTAGACTAGTACGGACAGACGAAGGTACTGGGTAGAGATATCGGAACGGCTTGTAATGTGAAGATGTGAAGACAACTCGAAAATTGCTTTGTGGAGCTGTTGTGGAAATCACTCGTGATAGGGTCGAACCACTCAGAATCTCATTCCGATGCCTGGACCACATGGTCAGGGCCGATGCGCAGCATGAACATCAACGGGCTTTCGGGCACGTGCCTTCAGACCGCGGCGACGCACAAGGCCTCAACGAGTTGCCCTATTTTTTCCTGTGAATTGTACCCGCTGTTGTCATTTCTAGTATTCTTTAGAAAAGTTCCCCCGTGTGGAGAAGTGGACGCCGATTTTCCAAGGAAAAATATCGACAACAGCAGCACTGGGCACATTTCGGGCAAACGTGGGTCAACAGAAGACGTAGTAAAGTGGGTACAAGTATGCTGCATGAAAATACTTGTAATTTTCGGTGGGTACAACCGCTGAGCCGAAATCGGGTATGGTAATAACCCGGCCATGTGCGCGGCGGGACACGAATGAATGTGGGGTGAAGACGCAAGAAAGTAAGCCCCTGAAGTTGGTGGTGCTGTGCTGGGATAATACCAAGTAAATGAAACCGTCCACCAGTCAAAGCTACTACGAACACCTCCTGTAGATTATTTGTTCGCGTCCGTTTCTCGCGGTTTCTTCATGTTACCACGGAGCGCTCCTCCTACAGGGCAGATGTGCAGATTATTACGCACCCAAATGACACAAAAAAAAAGTGGTCATGTCAGTCGTCGTGAGAGCAGGACGTGATTGGGCAACCAGTACAACTACTGCAGATACTCTCGTGTGATACAGTTGGCTTTAAGAAATATTTTGTTAAGAAATTGAGGCTCACTTTTTCACGAAAAATAAGAAAATAGGGTTGAGAAACACAGCTCAACCTGGGTCACACAATAAGAAATGTCTCAATAAGAAACACAGCGGTGACCGCTACCCTACTACATAAGAAACGAGGGTTTACGGGGGAGTGTGTCGAATAAGAAACAGACCCCACAGCTCTCTCGTTCTTTCTCCCTCTCCCCCGACCCCCCCCCTCCCAAACAGCAGTGCATTATTATTTTTACAAGTTGTACGACGAGGGGGAGTGTTTTTTTTTTGCGGCGCCCCCTGCGCCCCCCCCCGGTGTTTGCCATCGGGGTTGGGTTTTCGTCGCTTG